GGAACTTGGCTGGAGAGCTGGCTTTAGGAGGTGTGGGGTTGGGCCTCTGCCCCCTGGGACAGCTGCTACCGGGGCCTTGGGTCCTATCTCCTGTGTCCATGATCTTTTGGGAGATAAGAGGTGTGACAGGACTCAGAAGGTTCTGGAAAAGGTGGCACAACAGCCCCCAGGGGATGGGGGGCACACTACATAGCCCGAGGATAACCAGAAGAATGGGGGTGTGAGGCTGAGGAGACAAGGCCCAGCCCCATATGGGGGGACCCAGAAGACAGGGAAGCTGGTGGCTGTCTCCCACTCAGTGCTGAGCTGGCTTCAGAGGCCACTGCCTGGTTGGTGATGGCCACACTCCGCCCATGCCTGGCCCAGCGGCTCCCTCAAGCAGTAACTCAGAATCAAGTGGCCAGCCAGGTGCCAGGGAGTGTGGGCCCTGGCAGGGGTGGGGCAGGACGGAGCCTGAGCCCAGCATAATAAGAGACCAGGTGGTGATTCCTGGGGCGGGGTGGGGGGTGGGGGGCATGATATGCCTGACCTGGAGAGTTCCCTGCCCTAGCACAGTGGGGGCTGCTAGGAGTTGGGGTGAAAGGACTTACTCAGAGCTCCTGCTCCCCACACTGGGCCTGTGGGATACAGGGTAGGGTGAGGACAGCCTGTTCTGAAGGCTGAGCTTGGAGGGAGAGTGTCCCACACTAGGGGCACTAAGATGGTTAGGTCCAGGAAGCCCCCTCATCTCTTCTATCCAGGGGCATTCTTTTATCCGCAGGCACCCCTCCCTTCTGCCTGTGACACCTCCCCACCATCCCAGTCACAGCCCAGCTCCTGAAGGACGCTTCTTTGGCTGGGGGCAGACAGACCCCCTGGACAGAGCCCTCGGCTACAGGCCAGAGGATAGCTGAGGCTGGAAAGCACTGGGCTCCAGGACCACCCTGTGCCATGGGGGGGAGGGGAAGGCGCCAAGAGCCCCGTCTTTGGGCAAGGAGCGCTGGGAAGGTGACTCTGGTGGTGGGGTCCCTCCCCTCTCAGGGAGTGGGGGCTGGGACTGCTCTCCTTGGAGACTCCAAGTACCGGGTGGGCGCTGCTCACCCTGAGCTCTTGGTGGGGGGAGGGGCAGCCTCCACTTGGTCTCTTTGGGTCACCTCGACCTTGCCACCCTATTGTCTCAGCCCATGAGGAATGAGTGCATCAGCAGTGGGGTGTGGGAGGAGGCGGGGGTGGGTGACAAGCGGGCAGTGGGCAGTGGAGTGGGTGTGTGTGGGGATGCCTGTGAATGAGGTTCCTTTCCTCAGCTCTGCCCTGCTCTGAGGGCTGTGGGGGAGCTGCTCCCTTTGCCCAGCCCCTGTTCTCCCCCCAGCAGACCCGTCAATGTTGGCTGGTGCAGGCAGATGGGAGGCCCCCTATCCCCAGACATCCAGATCTGGAAGGGCGGTAGCCCCTGCCTGCCTTGTGGGGCAGGGCTGACTAAGTGGGTCTTTATCAGGTCTATGGGGTCACAGTGGGGTCACGCCGGAGGCTGAACAACGAACCCTACTCTAAGTTTCCAGAGGAGGTGGTGGGTTTGGGCAGGGTGGGGGGCAGGGTGTACACGTAAGGAGTACTGTAAGGAGGCAGTCCTGGGCCACCCACCCCAGCCTTGCATGGTCACTCCTAGCCCCACACCTCGGTGCCAGTCAACTGGGAACTAGGTGGGGCGGGAAGAGCTCCACGGACACACATACCGGGTGGCTGCCTTGGACCCCCCACCCTGACTCCCCAATTTGAACTGCCCACCCAAAGGCCATTACAAAACGGAGGCTGTGCTAAACACCCCCCCAGGACCCCTTAGCCCTGTTGCCTTGGCCCTCCCACTTGGGAGGGTCCGAGAGGGGGCGGCGCCAGCCTTGCTTGGGGAAAGGAAGTGTCACCTCCGGGCAGGACTCCCAGACCGGGTCCGTGTGGGGGCAGGTTGGCGGGGATCCGGGCGCGCCGTCGGGGGCGCGGGGG